GCCATCATCCAATCTTGGTCATTTTAAAGCTATTTTTCTCCTCTATCAAGTCAAGAACTCAACAAAGGTTTCATTGTTTTTCTTCTTGGTAGTTTCTAGATCCCTAATGGTTATGTCAAGTTAGTTGTTTTAGGTAAACTAGCGAATAGAGGCTTTGGCCATCTTTTCCCAATCCTCAATTATGGTTTTTGGTTGACTGTAGAACCAAGTGAAGGCGGCTCTGAAAAGGATTATTAGGAATGTTGTAGTTAATTACTGTTTGGCTAGGCCTCTAAGTAAACTATTCAAGTTACACTTTGGGATCTCTTGTCCCATCAAACTTATCGATAAAAGGCATTTTAAAGTTTCGAGGGGGCAGTATGAACGTTTTAGGGACAACTTGTCAACATGCAAGAGGTAGCTATCTGCGAGGGACCAACTCTTCGTCATGGCGCAAAGTTTTTGGATTTCTTGCATGGCCTAATTACCTTCTTTTGGTTGAAAAATGTTTGGGGTGATGGTGTTTTCAAGTTTTTTGGTTTTCAGTGTTTGAAGGGTGGACAATTCTTATTTTTTAAGTTTGAAGTGAAGGTTCAACTTTTTCTTTAGGTCTTTGGAGATGCTAATTAGCTCAACATTCATTCGGTTCACTTTGTCATCGATCTACATGAGCGTCTCGGCAATAGAGTTCACTATATTCAAGAGAATGCTCTGTTAGGTCTAGAGATTTCTAACATCTCCTCAATGCTTTTGGTGGCTTTTGGGGAATTGAAGGTGATATAGTTAGAGTTAAGGATTGGAAGTGTTTGACCAGGTTTTCGACTAACTTGTTTTATTTAGATGACTCAGTAGGTTTCGGGTTAGTATTGTGAATTTTACAAGGCAAAGTAAAAACCCAATGTTTTTAGGTGTTCAAAATTTAATATTCTTAATTTATTCAAACAATAAAATAGGATATCATTACAACATATTCTCACAGACATGCATCATAAAGATCAGCTCTAAGGACACTATCTAAGGTTTATCTATATCTAGGAAAGTCCAATATTCTAACCTTATTCCTCTAAAGGGTCTGATAGCAAAACATAACATGAAAGTCTATCCCTTATCACCGAAGTGAATCTTGAGGTAAAGCCAATACGTCACTGAAACCCGTTATGGCTAGAGTGGCAGTATGGGTGGAACAAAATTCCAAGGGAAACTGGTTGGTTGAATAGGCCCAGGCCCCAAGGGAATCTCATCCAAAGTTATGTTTGAATGATGCATAGGGAGAAATGATTTAAAATCTCCATCACCTAAAAGAGGGATCACAGTAAATGGATGTATAAAAGATACATGAACTCTCAAGTGGAGTTACTTCTGTCAGCAATACGGGTTTCTCTTCTAGCGCTTGTCTCAATGTTGAGATTCAATGTTTAATTATAAATGGGCAATCAATTTTTTGGCCAAAGTCAATCAATTTATTTATGAATGGAAAATTGATGCTGATTTTCAAGATCACAGTCTTATCTTTATTAAAGAATTTGGTTTTGATATAGTAAACAGGATATTAGAGAAATCGAAACTCAAAATCTTATAGGGATAAATCCAATATCTATTTATCTATTTTATATCAAATCACGATTGACTTAAAAATTAAAGATCATGTCTCTCATTTTATTCCAGATAACAAGAGATTTATATAAATAATTTATATGTCCCGCACTGTTACATATATATCTAGACAGATACGTATAGGTTTGGCAGCCTCAGGTGATTTATCAACCATTAGAATGATGCTGGCATTGTATTATCAAGCAAATATATATAAAGTACAACAGTTTGTGCCTTATTATTATAAAGTGGGAAAGTGTAACAAGAGAAGTATGGAATCCAACTAAGTATAAATGGCATATTATAATGAAAATTTATATAAGGTGCCTCGAAGGCATATTTATACAACCCATTTCATACACTTAATTTATATGACAAGATTCTGTAGATGTAAATTTACATAAAAAAATCCATCACCTTTAATGGTAAAATAAATCGTAATTTTAGCTATATGTCATAGCATCATGTGTTCTTAAGAATACACAATCATGATCATGGATGAAATGTCTCGTGCTTTTAACTTCAAGAGAGACCTAAAATGCTTAAGTTTTGGGAAGAATACTTGAGCAGATCACCTAGTACAAGATTCGAGATGAATTAGAGTGCTAAGGTGGAACAGAAGAACCAGCAACCGCAATCTAGATTGAGGGCTGATCAATGACAGAGGGAGATGATCTACGGTAGAAGCAACAATGGATCCATCGGCTAATGGGAGTTTCGATTGGTTGAGGTCTATAACCTGGGTTTCCTGTACCGATTAACTCCATGATGTACCGAGTGATTATCACAGATAAATTTGATTGTCAAGCTAGATCTTAGGACGAACAAAGTTCCTAGCTTATTAACAAATTTGATGATAGGTTAAAAGGGGTTTCTTCACGTTTTAAATGGTGAATAGGAAGACTTTAAAGATAAAGAGACGTCTATGGTGATGTTAAGATAATAATGGGCAACGTTTGAGGAACTTGAAACGTTATGAAAGAGTGAATTATTTTGGGATGTCAACAATACTCTTGGTTATTTGGTGAGTAAAATGTTTTTGTATTAGGGATTTGGAATGATTGATGGTTTTTTATTTAGCCTATGTTTTGAATTGATCATAACTTTTGTTTGGTTAAGTTATGAAAAGGAAAGAAAATGAAATATTATATTATATTGCTCTAATTATACTCTTTTAAAATAAAATATTTTTTATCATGTGAATAATCTTAATATTAACTATTTTAAAAATTTTTAAAAATTAATAAAAATAATTTCAATTAAAAAGAATATTATTAATAATTAATTCATAAAAATATATGCTTAGAATTATTTTTATACTATAATATTTTTTAAAAAATTAATCTATAAATGAGAAAATTAAAAACTTAAATATTTATTGTTAAAATAAAACTAACCATAAATTTGTTTAGTATTAGCATTTTCTTGCTGTTGTACGTATTTTGTCATATTTTTATTATTTAAAATTTGTAAAGTCATAACAAAATGAAAAAAAAAAAACCTAAGTATAAATTAAAAATATATAAAATTTGAAGTTATGGACAAAAAAAAGTTGAGAATAAATTACGAAAGATTTAAAGGTAACGTTAATGGTTAACATCCCTGGTTAAACTTGAATATTGTAATAGTATTTTTTAAAAAATGATAAAATATAATGAAGACATTTATACTTAAAAAATTTTAATTAATTCCTTTTTTCCTATTTACACCAATTTAGGATAATTAACAATTGAAGCTTTTGAGAAAAAAGGAGAGATAATCAATTTTATTTTATTTTTATTAAAATATAAATGATCAACCGAATAAAATTTTTTTTTTCTTATTTCCCTTACTTTCCTTTTCTGTCTTCACTTTTTCTTTTTTTTCCCTCATCTTCTTTCAATCTAAACATAACGTTAGTGTTTATGCTATGGATTGTGTGTCGATCGGCTAAAGGTCTGTTTATTTGTTGAGTTTGTGTTTAAAGTTTTTATGAAACATTGACAAATTGTTAGGGGAAAGTTTGGGATAAACAGGAGGCTTTGGTTAAGATTTTCGTTCCCTCATCTTCTTTCAATCTAAACGTAGTGTTAGAGTTTATACTATGGACAGTGTGTCGATCGGCTAAAGGTTTGTTGATCTGTTGGGCTTGTGTTTTTGGTTTCCATAAAATATTGACAAATTGTTAGACAAAAATTTGGGATAAACGGGAGGCTTTGGTTAAGGTTTTGGACTATTTCGATAGCTGGGCAACTTAGGAAACCTATTTTAAGGGACAGAAATGGAAGAAACTTAAAGATTTCTTCAAAATTTTAGGAAAGACTTTTGGAGAGATTTATAATTGAATTTCTTGTAAAAGGAGAAAAAATAACTAGAGGTTTGTTAAATGAAAAAATAGATAGGACTATTTATAGACAAAGATTAAGGCCAATTTGAGAATGATTAGACCTTTTATCTGTTATCTTATAATTCTTTTGGATAATTATCTCAGGAATTATCCAGTTAATAATTCATTAGAATTATCACCTTCATCCTTATCGTACAATGCGAATCGATAGGGATAGAGCACTGTCGACTGACGAGGTCTTCTTTTCAATCGAGTGGTGGATGTGTATGTCGATCGGTGTCCTTCGCTTGGACTTATTTTAAGCCCAAAATTATGTCCAATTTATAATCTTATTTCAAATTGTTCCAAATCCATCCTCTGTTGGGGTTGAGATAGGCCTGTCAATTGGTCAGAGTGATTGCCAATAAATTAGCAAGCCTTTTCTTATTCAATTTTATTATTTTGAGAAGTCAATTAATTTTTTGTTAACCCGATGTAAAATTTGGGGTTTACAGATATTAAATCCTAATGTTTTTAAATTAATGGTTAAAGTTTTCATTACATGTTGATCTTTTAATGATATAGTCAAATTTGGAATGCAATTAAAATATATCGGTCCTCCACACTAACTTGATTTAATTGTACCTAATAATGAATTATATCTACAATCTCCGATACATCATTATGAGTTTACTAATCCTAATCTAGTTAAACGTTTGATAGCAACTTGTACTAATCCTATATGTAAGAATTAAAATCCTCTTCTTGTATGTTCTTCAAGCATTTTTTTTTTTTTAAATAGTAATTGAAAATTAATGTCTTCTTCAGTTACTGAAATAATATCTTCTACTGTTCTTATTGCAAAATCTATTCTTTGTATAAGTTTACTCTCTTCTAAATATTATACTCAGATACTTTTAAAACATTCCAATGTTCTAATTGATTTTTAAATATTCAAATGTTTCAAATGAAAAAATTAAATAATTTTATGTAAAAAAGATATTAATTTTTTTATATATAAATTAAATATAATAAAATAATTATTATTTTATTTTATCAATAATTTCGTACATTAAAAATGACAAAAAAAAATATTAAATTTTTTTATAATTATAATAAAATTTTGAAAAAATTATGGGTAAAAATGGTTGCGTGAAACATTTGATTTGGGGCGTGTACTGTATATCCCTTGTATCTCATGCAGAGGTAGTGCCAGCATAGAGGTAATACAAGACAAAAGACCGTGGAAGTTGGAATATCCTCGGAGTCTCTGACAACCATGAGTCTGTTGCTGAAACCCATCAGTCGGGTATTTCTCTTCCAATCCAATTTCCAGAATCCAAGAGCAATTCCAAACTTTTCTTCTGTATCAGCATCATGTAGTTCCAGTTACGAAGCGCAGAAAATGGTGCGTCAATTCGACCCCAAAATCCCCATAGAGCAAGCGATCACTCCTCCGAGCTCCTGGTATGCTGACCCCTCCTTTTACGCTTTTGAACTGGACCGTGTCTTCTACAGGGGTTGGCAGGCTGTTGGTTAGTATAGTAATTACTCTTCTTTTGATTGCGTTTCAGGATAATGACACTGTTCTAGTACTACTGACTTTCACTTATGATATATGGCAAGAGTCTACCTAGATTGTTGAATTTTGATTCTGGTTTTTCAGGGCACACTCAACAAATAAAAGAACCCAATGATTTTTTCAGCGGCAGGTACAATTATTTATCTCACTATAATGTATACACTGACACCGCAATTTGGTTTACTATCATGTCACCTACAATCATTGCACTATAATTAATCAATCACAATTCAGAATTACAAGAGATCCATCAAAATTTTATATGACGGTCCACTTATATGTGGTCAACCCAGTATAATTGATTGTATAATTGAAGCGTTCTAGTAAAAAAAATTTACGTGTTTTCTGATTTCAGCAGTTAAATATGTTCATTTTCACAAATCAAGAACAGCTGAAATTTTCTAGTCTTCATGCAGATTGGGAAACGTAGAGTTTTTGGTTTGCCGGGATGATGATGGAAAAATTGCTGCTTTTCACAATGTCTGTAGACATCATGCTTCTCTTCTTGTGTCTGGAAGTGGGAAAAAGTCTTGTTTTACTTGCCCTTACCATGTAAGACTGTTCGTATCGCTCCTGATTGACTTGAATCATATCTTGATTTTCTATGCTCTTGCTTTTATATTGTTTTAGTTTCTTTTTTTCCTGTCTTGATGAGAAACTTCATCCTAGGCTGCAATTGGGACTTCTTCTCTGATTTTTCCTACAATTCCCCTTTGGCTTTGAGCTGGTGGAAAAAAATGTAGAGTGGATTATTCAGAGTTTTACTCTTCCTTTTACACATATAAAACCAGTTACTGGCAAATATTTTGCTTTTAACTCAGCTCTCTTCCTTACAGTTTGTCCTAAATTGCTATGATAAGCTTACAGAAGAGTTGGTATAAGAAGAAATTAAGCACAATTAAAATACCATTAAATAGAAAGGCTCCTTCTATACTGCCAGCAGAATGGTAACCATCCCATTGCCAACAACTTTGTGCCGCTTGCAATAGAACTAACAAGATATTGATAGATTCCTACTTCATATTTTGATGTCTTTTGGACAAATCTTAAGTTCTCCTTTAGCATTCCACCTGTTCAATATATGTTGATTGTTTCAGTTGTTCTTACCAACACATGCTACTTTACATCCAAATATGCTACTCAAAGTAAAAAAATCCTCGCGAATTGATTTGCTGATAAATTACACTTCCTCTCTTGAATAAATTTTTTTATAGGTGGCATCTATCCACCACTTACGCTTTTCTTCAGACAAATCCTACAGATTTTCCAATTATGACTGAAAAAGCTCTTTCTTCTTTTACAATACTCTGAATGAACTGTTCTTCTTTAATTACCATTTCCTGCTAAGATGCCAACAAATTTGTGAACTAGATATAATCCAAATCCAATATTTTCTGCAGGGATGGACGTATGGGTTAAATGGAGCGCTTCGTAAGGCAACTAGAATTTCGGGAATACAGGATTTCATCGCAAATGTATGAATGTTTGCCTCATTGTTGGTAAAATAGCAATCTTTCTTTTTTCTTGCATGACAGTTTCCAATTAATGGGGTAACTTGGTGGATATCTGTTGCGATTGTAGGAATTTGGACTTATACCAATAAAAGTTGCTATTTGGGGACCATTTGTTCTTCTCAATATGGACAAGGAGATTTTACCAGAGGATAACATTGATACTGACCAAATTGCAAGTGAATGGCTTGGTAGCTGCTCAGAAATATTGAGACTTAATGGGGTTGATTCCCCACTAACTTATGTTTGTAGACGTGAATACATCATTGAATGTAACTGGAAGGTGTGTCCTTGTAGCTAATGGAGGATCCATCAATTTAGTTTGTTGCTCTTGGCTTTTTATGATGATACCTAAAAATAATATATGGAGTCCCAAATAGTGCTATGTTGTCTTGAATATTAAATTGCAGCATTCTCCAAGTTAATGGTTATATGATTTCTAAAGCCTGATGAACATATATGCAGATTGCTGGCAATCTTTTGTTTCTTTTACTTGCAGGTATTTTGTGACAACTACTTAGATGGTGGTTACCATGTACCATATGCTCACAAAGGCCTTGCATCTGGTCTTACACTTGATTCATACACCACCTCAGTATGCTTTGATCTGATCTTTCTTCAAGTTCATATCTAAGATTCACAAATTAATGTTGTTTCTTTGGCTTGGACAGTTTCTTTTAAGAATTCTGTAATGTCACAGGGACATGCTTGCAAAAATCATGTTTGATGTTTCTCAATTAGATGTTATTTAATATCTCTTGTTCAGATTGTGATTCAAATGATTTGTCACATTGTAACAGTGATTATTGTTTATGAACAGATATTTGAAAAGGTTAGCATCCAAAGTGTTGAAGGTGGCTCTAAAGAAACGCAAGATGATCGGCTTGGATCAAAAGCTTTATATGCTTTCATCTATCCAAATTTCATGATTAACAGGTCCTTACGTCCATTTGCATTTTCACCTGCCTTCTTCTTTCCACTCCTTCCGGTAAATTATCTTCTTTTATGGTCTTATAGGTATGGACCTTGGATGGACACCAATCTGTTAATCCCATTGGGACCAAGGAAATGCCTGGTGGTATTTGACTATTTTCTTGAAGCTTCTCTTAAGGTAATTTTATTTATTATGCATTGTTATAGACTCATGATTGTAGTTTTAGAATATCAAACATGTGAAAACCTCATATAAACGAGCATAGTGGTAAGCATGTGAATAAATTTCATTTTATACCTATTAGCTCAATGTTGTGTGCATGGTATCTATGGACAGTTGGTGTAATTAAACAAAGGATAACTACTTTTAGAAAAGGGACACTTGTTTAAGGCTTGTTTTGCAATTTCTCTACATGTAACTCAAAATAGGTAGGACAAACCTAATTTGACATGTTTAATTATTATTTTGAACAGAAGCATCCTTTTTTTTTTTCACTTATAATCTACAGGACAAAATAATACCTTGTATATATGCAACTGGTCTGAATTGTCTCTTTGTTGCCTTCTAAGCTAAGCATACTCTTAGTAATTAGTGCAGAACTAAAAAAGTATACTGCATTTATTTTCGTAGTTGAAGACTTGGAATTTGAGGCTCATGAGTAAATTTTAGGCCAGAAGCCTTTCTGGTTTCCATCTAAATTTCTTCTTTCAAAAATAAGGTTTGATACAACAACAACACACTAAGCCTTATATCCCATACTCTGGGGTCGGTTGTATGAAAAACCAAATAAGAGAATCAAGTTGGGTTGTAGTTTGAATCTTCTGCGCCACTCATTTTTATCAACAGCCACTTTTTCATCTAATTCTTTAACCATCATATCATTTTTTATTACTTGCATCCTTATCTTTTATGATCTACTTCTAGATGTTTTGATCTCTCCTAGATCTAGAGACTCAATTCTCCTAACCGGTGTACAGCTGGGCCTACGTTTCACATGTTCAAACTTCACAAATGGCCCTCTCTCATTTCTCTTCATTCAGACTAACCCTAATTTTTTTCAAATTCTTCATTTTTTATTTTGTCTCTTCTAGTCTTACCATACATCCATCTAAGCATCCTCATCTCTGCTACGTTCATTTTCTTCTCATGTTGTTTCTCAATAGCCCAACACTCAGTTCCATATGGTAATGCAAGCCTTACAGTTGTTTTATACAACTTCACTTTTAACCCTAAAAACAAGGTTAGATACTTGTTTTTAATTATCTTTTGGAGATAACTGGTGGAAGCCCGTCTATTTTTGAGATGTAAGGATGTTGGTTGCAATCTTCCAAGGGAAGGGGGAGGACTATGATGTCCCTTGCATATTACTGGTATTTTTTAAAGAATGAAAGGAAGAAAATTGTAATATTGAGTAGCAGAATCATCTACTGAATCACCATGCAGGATCAAAAAAGAATAGCCTTTCGACTACAAATAATGGAAACATTTTTCTGCAGACCCAAGAGCAGAGAAGAAAAGTAAGAGAAACTGGAGAGCTGGTTATATAAATCATTTGGATGGGTGTGGCTGTGTCTGTCTGTAACCATGCCTAAATGCTTCTGCATGCACTATATGTACAAGGAGAATGTTGTATCAACCATTGTATGTACACGCCCTCAATCATGCATGTACAAAGATAAAAATGCCTCTTTTCTTTATATCTAATCCTTAGCTTTGTGTTAGTGAAAAAAAATTAAATGTTGGTTTTAACCATGGAAAGATCTCGCACATCTAACTGTGGAAAATGGAAATAATTTGTTGAAAAACTGATCTTGTGCTTCTATTGCTGCTTTGATGTCATCTTCTATATAATAGCCATTCATCTTAAGCATTTCATTTCTTGTCTTATTTTTTTTCTTTGAAATATGTTAGCGGATGATAATCCAGAATCTTGTCATCAGATTGGCAGTTGTGTAATCTTTGTAGGATCAGTAATTTAATTGCCTACATTTAATAAGGTAGATGGTAAAAACTGAAAGTAACATTTATAAATAAGGCTCCTTGAAAATTGTTTTCTACTTCCAACTTGAAATTTCATGAAGACTTTCTAATGTTGTCTGATATTACTGCATGCTTTACGTGTGAACTTCCTTTCATTTTTGGTCGGCTAATATTTAAAATCCCAAGAATGTGTACGCATGAAGAGTTATGAAGCTAATATATACTATAGAATCTTTTACTGTACCCATATGTCTTGAGCTCTGAATTCTGCACATGTACTAAATAAATGCTTCTATTTCTGCATAAGTTTTGGATTATACCAGGTTAATGTATAGGTAATGTTGTTTTAGAGGAGATGCTTCAGATCTCATTTCATGTCTTAGCCTCTCACATGTTGCATTCTGTATGCTTAGTATTTGAAAGTGCATTCTCTGTATGTGATATGCTGATATTGAATCGGCCTGAACATTTTTCTCTGTGCATTGCATAATATTGATGGATTCTACTTGTTCATGGTGAAGTTCACACCTCTATCAAGGATCCTAACAGTTGCAGCCATGTGATATAATAAGTCAAAAGGCTTTTAAGGTTATATATTTTTCATCCTTATCCATCTCTCAAAATTATAGATAGTTAGGGGAGGAGAAAATGGAACTTGAGATTTGAATCCTATGATGTTGAAACATTGTTATACATTCGATATAGTCAACGCGATCCTTTTATCAATAATCCTCATACCGGCCATGCTTAATTTTTGTCTCTGTCACACAATGGCCTTGGGTCATGATTTGTTATGGTCTTAATTATAATGAGAAAGAATGTAACTCCAAGTTAACCAATCACTTTTGTGGTCTCAGGAGGACAAAGCTTTCATTGAGAGAAGCCTAGTGGATAGTGAAAGAATTCAGGTACTAACAAATAATCTCTAGTCATGCTTGTCCAAAATTTACTGTTAATCTTTCAAAATCTGTTTTGTAAAAATGAAAATATGCAGATGGAAGACATTACACTGTGTGAAGGTGTTCAAAGGGGCATCGAATCACCTGCATATTGCACTGGAAGATATGCTCCTCGTGTTGAGATGGCCATGCATCATTTCCATTGTTTGCTTTATGATAATCTCATCTCATAAACTAATTGGCTTTGTATCCAAACATGACAAAGATTCGATAATTTTCTTGTGTGCTGACTGCTGAATGCATTTGTCAATGTGTCACAATTGAACTGCTTCTATTGCAATTGAGTAAGTAGAAAGTGAGACTGTAGAGGGTCGAACTGAGTAGTCCTTAGTCTACAAGCTGGTCAGGGGGATGATAGTGGGGAAGATGAGAGAGTTTAAAACTATTTGGACTTGAGAGTGAACACTCAAGGGACATAGCGGCAGGTGGCTCCAGCTGCTGAATACTAGTACTTGTCTTTCTAATAATAAGGTTAATACAAACATATAAATATATGCCCTTAAATAGATAATACACACATAAGGTAGTAGCTGTCTTCATAATGAGGTTGTCCATATGTCTTGTACTGATATTGTTTTTTTATCTATTTTTTAAAAACTAGTTGTATTTATGGGTATAATTCGAGCTTTTTCTATATATATATATATATGTAAATATTAATTTGAAATTTTGAAAATTTTTTAAATTATTTGTTTGTATATATAAATTTTAAAATATATTTAAAAATATTTAAATATTAATAAATATATATATATATTTTGAATTGTGTCAGCTTTGACCGTTTGGACCTTGGGCAAAATATTTAAAATATCAACCGGGTTTAGAATAACTTAATTCAGTCCAAGGACACTTCTAATGCCAAGGAAATGTTTGCTTGACATGTTATTGTTGACAAAATTATTTGAAGAAGGAATCAAAATGGAACCATTCCAAAAGATTAGAAATCAAAATGAAACAATTCAAATATTGAAAATTAAAGTGAAATCAAAATAATAGGTTAATAACTATGAATATAATTTATCCAAAATTATTTATATTAAATATGAACTGCTTTTTTCTTTTAAGGATTTATATGTAATATATATTAATTTTAACCTTTTTATATTAAGTTTTTGCTTGAAAAAACTAAAATACTTAAAAGCCATAGTACTTTTCCAAATTCTACTAGATAAGTTTTTATTCTTCTGTTATATTTAGTTAAACCATTAAAGTACTATTTTTTTTTTCTAATCAATTCCTTCAAGTAAAATTTTTATTTAATTAAACTCTTATTTTTAAAGCAGATTTAGTGGATTCTATTACACAAAATAAAAACTTAATTAAACAAAAAACAATACTTTAACAGCTTAATTAGATACAATAAAAGGATAATAACTTATTTAAAAATTTTAAAATATATATGAATATTTTTAGTATTTTAGTCAAAAAAAAAAAAAAAGCTGCTTTCGAATTAAGCAAAACACTTTTGGATCTTTAGTTTGATGAAAGAAAGAGAAATATAAGATAGAAAAAAAAAGGAAAAAGTTAAAATATGTATGAAATTTATATATTATTTTCTCTTTTTTTTTTTTTGCATATTTTTTAAATATTTATAGTTTATAATAATTTTACTCATCAAATATAAAATTATATATATTTTATGAAAATTTAGCTCTAGCAACAAAGCAAGAGAGTTTTTATGGTAAATGCTAAATGTGAAAACAACCAACAAGAAATTCTAAAATGTTTATTTTTGGGTATATTTGAGTAAGGTCAAAAGAGAATAGAGAATTCATGATATGTGTTGACATTGCTTAGACAAAATTTAAAAAAAAAAAAAAATTGTTGACATTGCTTGGACAATAAGTTAGAATGCTATATCTTTTTTTTTATTTTCTATTCAAAGATTAATTGGATTCAATCATTTTAGCTTCAAATAAAAAATGAGATAAAAGATTATGTAAACTTAATTTTTTCATATGCTAATTTAGTAATTTAATAGTTTTGCTAGCAAAACAATTAGTTGTTTTAAAATTAGTCGAAAACTTATATAATTTTATTGTTTTTATTTTGGCAATGTATATTATTCAAACTTCATGATAAAGTTTTTTTGTTAGAACTTTTAATTTATGTAAAAGGACTAATGTCTCTTTATTTGGTTAATGGATAGATATCTTTAAATAAAAAATAATATTGGAGCAGTCACATTATAATGAAGAAATTTGTCATTATTATTTCAAATAAAAAAAGAAACTTGACTTTATAACAATAGATACTGCATAAATTATTTTTTGGCCAAATACTATATTAGTTTATATATTATGAAATACTCATTGTATTAGTCATGTACAACAATACTATTTTCACGACCATATGTTTATATGTTATCTGTATCTTAATTTTTCAAAGATATCATAATTAATTAAATAGAATACTCTCTTTGTTTTATTTTTTGTTTTTTGTTTTGTTTATTTAATATTATAAATTCAAAAAAAAAATTATAATATTGATGTATCATAAATTTTATTGTCAAAAAATAAAAATAAAAATCAATTTTAAATATATAAAAAAAAAAGAGTATTAAGTGTTCAAAAATGAAAAAAAAAAAAAAAAGACATAAAAAAAAGATTTTATAAAAAAGAAGAGACGAAAAGAGTATTTGAGAAATTTTAAATTTATATTGTAATTACATAATATCCATATATTAAGGAAGTTATTTTTGTTTTTGTGTGTATATGAATTATTCTTTATATATTACTCTATAGATATGTACTCAGATGTCATTTTTTGTTCTGTTTGTTTTACTTGCTTAAAAAGAAACTCAACGGATCCCATTTAGAATTCAAATTTGGATATTGGGGCAATAAATTAACTAACTTCGATCGTCAAGTAAAAAGCGAAGAGACTCAATTGGATTTTGCATAATATTGGTGATGGTGATCAGTTACGTTAACAAAGGAAGCAAATTGCTTGAGATGTTTTATGAGGAACCAGTGCCACTCCCGGTTATGGCAACGCTAGCTGCTATCTTTACGGTTACGCGATTCTCTTCCCGCTGTGCATGCGCTGTCGTCGACTCTGCTGCCACTGTTGAAACCACCAAAGTATCCCAACTGGGTGTGGGATGGGCTCTCCTTCTGGCCTCCTTGCTTTTGGTGGTAGCAGTACATTGGCTCTCCTTATCAACGCCTTCTGCCACTGCCATGGAGAAAGGGCCGTCTTCGGATTATTCCTGGGTTTTGCTTTTTCTTTTTAACCTCTTCTTGCTTTACATGGCGCTCAAACAGCACACCTTCAGAAAGTCCTTGTTCTTCATCTAATTTTGAATATTAGATTAGGGTTATAATCATAGCCATAGGTGTTCGTTAGTTATTTACTTTTGAAAGGATGTTATTGTGGAATTCGTTTTCTATATAAATCATAAAATAAATTACAAAATGCGTTCTGCTGCTTTTTTTTTTTTTTTTATTCCAAATTTTCCCAACTTAATTATTATTTACCCTTACTCTTTTTGATTCACGATTTTGAGAGCCATTTGTTTTTATAAAAGATGTCATAATTTGATAATAATAAAAGAAATTTTAGATGATAAAATTTGAATGTCAAAATTGTTAGATATTATCTTTTAGGATGATTATATAAATCAATGAATTAAATTTTAGGTTCTCAAAATGAATTTTATTAACATGCAAGGTGCCAAAAAATTGCTTAATTTAACTAATAGGAGTTCAACTATCATCTTGTGATATTTAAGAAAGAAACATATACATATATCTTGTAATCAAAATATATTGAAATCATACACTACAAGAGTTTAGGTTTTTAGTTATGTTTTTTTTAACGTTTAGCAGCGTTTATAAATACCACTAAAAAATTTACGGCATTTGCAAAAAACACCACAATATTCATGATATTTGTATATGAAAATGCCATTATATTAGTAACATTTATATCTTTGAGACGTCGCTAATTTAATAAAGTATTTATGAGAAAAACGCCGTTGCTTTTGATGACATTTGTATAAAAAAAGTCATTATTTTAGCGGTATTTTCTTGTAAGAGCGCCGCTACTTTTAGTGATGTTTTATTATACAAACACCACTAAATTATTCATTTAGTGACATTCTTTAACGCAAACACTGCGAAATTAAGAAATGTATTTTTTTAATATAAAAATTTTTTGTTAATATTTATTATTTTTGTAAACGAGCTTAAATTCAAAAACTGAAATTAATATAAACTTAATTCACGTTCAAATATACATCTAATTAACACAAAATTTAATAATTAGTATAATAACATTTAAATATTTTTAATACATTAATAAAATAAAAATTAAAATGTATGAAATTGATGACTATATAGATTTTGAAGGCTACCAATTGATGAAGGAATTTTTTTACCTTGATCACTAGCATGCTCAAGAACCTATTGAATAATACCATACAAAATCAAACAGTTTATTGTAAACTTTTTTTACATTAAAAGATATAAATATTTACTAAATATAATACTTGAGTTAGTGGACCACCGAGATTAGTTCCTGAAAATTGTTGTTGTACAAAATTCATAAGATAATTGAATTGATCATGCAACTGCTGATATTTTGCATGCTCTTACTCCATTCTAGCATGTCCTTCCTTAATTTTGGCATGCTCCTCTTCTCTTTCTGCCTCTATTTGCTGAAAATGTTGTTCATAGTTTGCAATTACTCTCTCAATATTGAAATATCTCGCGAAGACTGACTTGTTGAGAATGTAAATTGTTGAGAGCTATGTCCATAGTAGGTAGATGGTGTTGGACCCAATCCAAGGCCTCGGACCTGTCCATGCCTTTCTTTTCTAGTAACTTCTATGAATATCCAATTTTTTAATTTTGTATGTTAAAAGAACCTTCAGATGCTACTTCAATTTCAGTAGTCATTTTCTTTTTCGTTTTCTCTTGTAAATTTGTCATATACAACTATCAAGTTTAATGATTAATTGATAATATGTTAGAAAGAGTAAATATTTACTTTCTATTAAAATAGATGTTATAAATTATCACAATTTTTTATGTTTTGACATTCATGTAAGATCCATCTTTTTTTGTGTGTATTAAGCAAAAAAGTTTCACACATCTAATTTTACCACCCATCTCATTCTCTTATACAAAAACATATGTTATTTGATAGGATACATATCAACTGCAACTTGTTTATGCATATCAAGCCTATTAATTAAGTTAAAAAATTTTGAATAATTTTAATATCATGTATCTATATTTTGGCCCATTAACAACACAATACTCTTAAACAAACGCAAACAATAAAAGCATTTTGGGCTTTCACACATATCAATTATGGAAACCAAATTCAGTTATTTGGACAAGTTTAATATCACGGATTGAAGCCATTCAAACTGTTGAAAGCCATCCAAAAGTTTAATTTATATATTTGCCTTTTATATGCAAAAATAGTCCCAAATAGACATAAACGACAACTTTTGCATCCATATCAACCATAGAAATCAAGTTCAATCAATCGGACAAGTTTAATATCAAGTATTGAAGCTATCCAAACTATTAAAGAACAATAATAACAACAAATTTGTATTTTTACCTAAATAGACATAAATAATAACTATTTCC